TCATCCAGGCCATCAATAAAGATGTTAAAACTCTTTTTCTTCCTACTTTGCAGAAATACTTCAGAGTGTTTTCACTTTGTGAGTTTTTTGAAAGATCTTTGGAAACTTTTACTTTACTGGTATCTTGAGTGTACCTAGATACAAGCTGGGTGAAGGGGTCTAGATTTCACTGCATTTGGTTTAGAATCTGTTTTGAAATTCTTGTTGTCATGCAGACATTTATGGTCTGTATCCTAAATTATAAGACCCGGACTGCCAAAAAGCAGTCCTCATTTTGACTCTTAATTTGAGGAGAAAAATAGAGAAGGTATTCCAAAAGATATATAGCCATGTTACACAAAACAAAGAAAATAAAAGCACAGATTTTCCCTGAGAATTATTTTTAAAAACATGTAGAAAAGAGAGAGAAATATTTATTGGAAGGAATATTCAGGTATTAAATGCTGCTGATGAGTCTCATGGGTTTTGACTCTGGTCCTTTTGTCCACTTTCAGGCACCTCGGTCAGATTTGCTTTCTGGTGATGCAGTAATTCCCTTACCAGGAAGCATTACTGATGAGACTAAACTGGGAATTGCAGAGAGGCAAGGGGGGAATATTAGTCACCTCAATTACAGTTCCCATGAAGTGGTGTGATAGCATTTCAAAACTCAAGTTCCTATGTGTTCCTTTTATCCATGAGAAGCCAACATTGGCAGTAGAGACTTCTTGAGGGAAAAAATAATACAGATAGATATTTTCCACAAGAAAAAGAAAACAAACTGTATCTTTTCTGTAAGCCTAATAGGCTATGTTTTTTCCTCTCATTCTTTGTCTAGGTTCTGTGTGTACCACTCGGATTAAGACAGGGGTGGGCTATCCACAGCTAAGTGCTGTTATTGAGTGTGCAGACTCAGCACATGGCTTGAAAGGACATATCATCTCTGTAAGTAAATATCATCTACTCTCAGATTCCCACTGTGCAAATCGTTGTGGAATAGGAGAATCAAACAGTCCAGTACCCTGCGTGTTAAAGGCTATCCTTCCATCACCTCCAGCTGACCCCTCTGCTAGCTCCTAGGGTGATCAGTGGAGATTTAAATGTAAATAAACCAACTCCATCTAATGTTTAAAAAGATTTGGGCACCTCACTTTTGTGCCTTTGGAAAGCTGTGTCTTGCTCCCTGCATACAGTAAGCTGCTATGTGAACAGACTAGGAAGCTTGATAGTGTTTTCTCATTGAAGCAAACAGTAATTCCCATGAAAGATTTCTGAAAAATGAGTAAAATGTAAACATGGCTTTTGCCAGAGAGTGGGACTGAGGGGCAGGCAGTAGAGGGGAGCACAAAGTAAAACAGTATGAGCCCATCCGTACTCTAGTAGCTGGATTGATTCAGATCCCATCCTCACAGAGCTCTCTGTACAGGGGCAGGAGTGTTTCAGAGGTGGCTCTGTTGAGCACAGCTAGCACATGAGCCAGTTCATTCTCCCAAGGCTCTGGGGAAGTAAAGAGCCTGTGGAGAAAAAAAGAGCATGTATCTGTATTGCGTGCTAATGGCAGCTTCCACTCTACATTCAAGGCCAGGTTCACCTCACACAGAAAAAGTAAATCTAATCACGGTGTCAGACTGAGCTAGTCTGAAGCCTACAGCACCCAAAGGTCCTGTGTGCTTAGGCACGCCCAGCCAGTCAGTGTGCCTCTGACTGGGTCAGGCTTGCACTGTCTCTGAGGCAACTGGTCATCAGGACGGCATAGGGGCTACCCAGTGTGCTGTGCTTACAGGTACCATCACAGCCTACAGTCTCCCTCTGCAGCCCTAGAAGAGACCACACACTGAATTTTAGGTCTACTGGAAAGCCCTCATTTGTTTGACCCCGTTGTGACTAGTATCCATGTGAGGAAGAGGGTGTGTTGTGTTGTTGAGAAAGGAGAGAACAAACTGGATGGGCAAATGGCTTGACTGTATTTCTTGGAGCTGTGGGTATAACGGAGCAGGAAAACATGTATGTTTAGATCTCTCTTGCTCTTTATTGTTAATGCATATGTATTCCCTCTTCCCATGGCTCCCCTATGTGAATTCTTCAGAAAAAAAGAAAAGCAGTCTGTGATTTTATGTCTTGGGCAGTATTACAAATGTTTATGTCTATAGCAGACAGCAGAACATGTGTGCAATAGACCATGAAAGACTGATTCATTACAATGAAGGCTGGGTAACTATAGGTGTCATCCTAGCAGTGGTGTTCAGAGACCCATCCTAGTTTTGCAATAATAATTTTTCTGCTAGCAACCCTCAGAAGAATGTTATTATCCTGATTTTACAAGAAAACAGGGGGTGTGTATTTAGACTGTTGAAAAATGAGCCAATTCTATACTATTGCTCCTCTCCTTTCCTGCTTTGGCGATGGATCAATTCCTAACCTGCTCAGGTCATGCTGGCTTCAGTGAGCCCATGTCTGTAAACCCCCTGGCCACTACAGGGGGAGTATAGTAGGGCAATTTAATACCTGTCTGCTGCAATGTCTGGGCCAAGAGAATTACCTTCAGCTGTAACTGGGGTCTCTAAAACCACTGCAACTCAGTTCTGTCATCCAAACTAAAAAAAATGAAGCAAGAATGAGGATATTATGCCTGAATTCTTCAGCATTCAGATAGGTATTGGTGTGTTTCTTGGGGAAAGAAAAGGCTGGACTGTGTGGTCATTGCCAGAGCTCTGGCAAGAGTATCACAAAAGAGGGGTGTCCTCTTGAAGGAAAAACACCATGTGGGAGCAAGGCCAAGTATTTAAGTATATAATTGGGGTCTAGGGGCATCAAGTATACATGACATCCCTCAAAATGTCTCACTACTGTCATCATGTAGATTCAGGAAGAACCACGTGCTGCCTGAGCCCAAAGAGACCTCTACAGGCAGAGTATTACCACGGCTATCTATGTCAATTCGGCAAGAGAAAATATATCCAGCGGCTTTTTGTTATATTGATAGGGAAGTAGCAGGAAAGATGTGAAAAGATTGAAAGCCTACCAGCTATCTTCATGTAGGTTATAGCTGATGGTGTGATACGCGTTAGTCCCTTGGGGCACTTTCTTGCATCCACCTCTGTCTTGTCCAGTACCTTGAATTCACTCATTCACTCACTTCTGTCTTGTCCAGTACCACTGAATTGCTTTGTTACATTGGCTCCGCTTCCGTATGAAGGGAAAGAAGTCCCACTCACGGAATGAGAACGTGATGGTGCTGAGCACAGTACAGGCACTGCAAGGAACACAGCACTCTTGAAGCTCGTTCTGCAGTAGCTCTGCTAGGATGGCACCACAAACTGGGATTTTAAACGTTTGTATTACTGAAGTGATCATGTATGATTTTTGGAGTTGATACGTTGACAAAGAAGGTGACAATTTTTAGGCTAGCATGATAGTCCAAGTGGACGCCTGGTGTCTCTCTAGAGTCACACAGAGAAGGGGGAGGTGAAACTGTACTGGTTACTTTCCTCATGCTAAATTATCTTCAAGACTCAAAGCTTACCTCAGAAATGAATCTTTCATGACTCACTGAAAGAAGAGAGGAAACTCTGTCTAAGGTACAGACACCATTTCTGTCCTGTGCTATTTGTCTGGGAGCCAATAGTCTCAATTTTCATTCTCGCTAATCCATTGGCCTTGAGAAAGTGCAGCAGTGAGTTATGGTGGCGGGGCCATTTAGCAGGAGAGCTCCTTCAGAAACGCCCTACTGGAGATAAAGTTTCTGTTTCTTGTGGGTCAGAGAACTACCCTGCTGGCTAGAGAGGCAGGCACGTATTCTAGTAAGCCAGCAATGTGGGAAATGGAAAGCAGCCTTGCATGTGTCCTCTCTCAATTCCCCCGTTACCCTGCCTGGGTGATGGGCCACCAGCGTTCAGTGAAAAGGATGACTAAGGGGTTCTTCACCCAGCTACTGCTGTACCATCTCTTCCTCCACACAGAACTCTTTCCACACAGAAATATGCCCAGCATATGTAGTTCAGAATAAAGCACCGTATGTATTGTTTCTACTGCTGTATATGCCACATACTTTATATATCTTCTGCATAATAAATAGCTCTGTTTGCTGATACTGTAGGAAGGGCTGGGCATACAGTTTATTATAAAGGTTGCTTGAAAGATACAAATCATAGTTATCAACATATTGTAAGTTGCATATAATATTAAATGTTCAGCCAGTTCATACTGGTTTTCCATATGGTATTTCTTTTCCTCAGGCTACATTTTGTTGTAAAATGGTTTATCTGTTCTGAGAACAAGACTGGGGAAAATAACATTATTTTAGCCATGTTAAAATAATTCTGTTGACTGGAAAGCTGTTTTCCCCTCTCCTTCAGTTTAGGACCTCTACAAGCCCCATGGCCACCTTTTCCAGTAGGCTTACTTCAGAATAATGCCAGTTCTCCTGAATTCACAGAGGGATTTGTACAGTTGCATTTCCCAAGGGCTCTGAGGTAGAGGCTGAGCCTGCAACAAAGCCCTGTGACTGAAGCCCAGCAGTTCTAAAGTCATGTTGAGTCCAGAGCCAGGCCCCTGTTGGGACAAGCTGAACTGCAAGGGGAGGCTTCCCAAACAGTGCAGCAGAAGCACAGTCTTATTTTCTAAACAGAGCGCTTCATTTTTTTCACATGGAATGAAGTGGTTTAATGCATATAGCTTTGTTATACAGCATCTTCTGGCATAACTGCTTAATATGTCCCCTTTTTGTTTCCCTTGCTGTGAATCATTAAATTTACCTGCTTATGTGAAGTGGAGACATCTACAGATAAAGAAGTGCTGTGAATCATCATAATCAGTTCCTTTTATCTTAAATGGTAGCTCATGAGCTTTTGGGAAAGTCTCTTAATCTGATCAGCATTTTGTAATTTGGTGACATTCAAGGTGGTATTTTTTGAAGCCGATGATTAATGATTACACACTAAGGCCCCCATCCCCATGGTACTTCTGAAAGCATAAACCCTCCATCACTGCCACTACCAGGTTAATTATAAAAGTCAGACTCTGAGCCACCCAGCAAGAACAGACTAAAGCCCATCTACCAGGGAGCATTCATAGCCAGCCTGTCTCACTCAGATGGTAAGAGTCAGGCAAATTCCTGACACTACTCTTTGAAGATTATTAGACCCCTCTTTCTGCCACAGCTCTTCCTCCCCTGGCACATGCACACACACACTCACACCCTCCTCCAGGCTCTGATAGACTTGTCAGAGGGAAAGAATTGCACAAGCAGAGCCCTTAACAGGAGAGAGATTCATCTGTCAGCCCAGCACTCCTTTCTGGAGTTGACAGCAAGAGCATCTAGCTCAACAAAAGGCATAATGTGCTAGAGGTTATCAGCAAATGGAATAAAAGCCTTTAAAGTTCTGCCAGGCACTGTTTGCAGTGGGATGCCGTTTGAAAAGCCACTTCTTTTGGATCCACCTGCTCAGCTTGTGTCCGAATCCTTTTTTGTGCACAGTGAGGTTCTAACACTCAGCACCACTGCCAGCTACCTGTGAAAGCCAGCTCTAAAATGGCTGATGGGTGGGGGTGTCTGACTGTGCTCAGCCACAGGTCATACACAGGCATGTATTTCTGCCCACGGGGAGGGGAAACAAAATGAAGTAACCATACAGTCTGGGCAGTAGCTTCAAAAGCAGAAAAGCTGTTGGTAGTCTGCAACAGACCCTGATCATCAAAGGAATGGGGAGCCCTCTTGGTACAATGACTGTGTAGAGTAGAAGGATCTTTCATCTGATGCTCAGACCTTTATAAAACCTAAAGAACCATAGCACATGATGAGTTCTGCTATGTGCCATCTCTTTTTTACAGCCCTATCACACATACATAGTTCCTCCCCTCAGCTGAAACCCCCTCATCAGCCATTTCTTTGCTCTGCACCGAAACTGAAACTCACAGGTCTAAAGATCGTGAAGTTCTGTTTCATTACCAAACCCATAGTCAACAGCGAGGAGTATGATGAGAGAATAATTTTCACTTACCAAAGATGAGATTACCCAATTTGCTTAGAGATTATCAGATCAAAATCCAATGTAGCTGATGGTATATTTCCTTACCCCTCCCACTGTGACCTTTTAATGTATTGTAAACTGCTGAGAAAGTTATTTTAAATGTCTTTGGTGGTTTAAGGTAGGGGTTTGTGGTACCTCTGCATCACACAGCCTTTCATTAAAATGGCAGGGAGTGATTCAGCTCATCAGAGGAGGTCTTGTTTTCCAGTTTCTGGGATTTAGGAAACTGCAGTCAGGAATTTCCATTGCTGGTGTTTATCAGTACACTATATGGCAAAGTAAATGAGCCTAAAGAAGAAAAGCTATAGAAAGGATAACATGAATTCCCTAAAAAATAAGCCAAGATGATGTATAACCAGTGGTGCACAGCCAGCTCTTGACACCCTGTTCGGGAGCAGGGCCCATTCTGCAGCAGGTCACAGAGCACCAGTGCTGACTAGGTCCCTGCACGAGCTCACTGCCACTCACTGCCGTCTTTTCTTCATGCAGGATGGAGGATGCAGCTGCCCAGGAGATGTCGCCAAAGCATTTGGTAAGGACAGTGCGTAGTGCCACCTGTGATACCCCGCCTATCTTCAGAACCATCAGCAGCGATGCAGGGGTCAATTTGACCCTGCATGTGTAATCAGCAGTACATTACATTCATCCCAGTGGGTGACTCCAGTGAAATTAATACACCAGACCTCAATTTGTTCTTTGGACAAGGCAGTCCAAATTCTGCATCACAAAAAGTACAGTGGTCAAAGTCCTATTTAGAAACCATCTGCCAGAGTGTATGAGATACAGCTACAGGGACAGTAATACAAAGAAAACTGGTAAGGGTGTCTTCAGAGTAGGGTTCAAAAATGCCTGTAACATTGCTAGATCTGGCTGACTTGGGCCTTGAATGGACAAAGAGCTGGTGGAATGTGTGTTGGACAGAAAAACAAAATAAAAAGGCAGACCAAATCCCTGGAGATGTTCTTGGGATCAGCTGTCTGCTTGAAAAGATGAGATTTTGTTTATATTGTATCCCCTAGAGCTGAGCGTATGTCTAAAACATCTAAGTTAATAATTAACAGATTTTGCACTCATGCCAGTAGCTTCAGTGAGTTGCACTAGCTCTTGCTGATAGAACAGAAAATTTAATCTGTGAGTATTTTCTATTGGGCATGAAAGTTACATTAGTGTGGGGGGTCAAGGTCAGGATTGTCACTTAGCCATAACCTTGTTGCAGCAGCGTATGTAAACCAGGTGCTAAATGCATCCTGGGATGACAGGCCATTTAAAGACATTCCCCTACCCCTCCAAAATGCCAGACCCTTTGGAGATGTCACAGCAGGGTAATACCTGGAATACAAGTGGGGCAGCACAGTCTTTCATTGGGATTTCAGGGTGGTATGATACAAGAGACAGGACATTATGATACAGCATGTCTACTTGGCAGGAAGCTTTGCAAGTATGCAAAGTAAGGGCAGGCCTAAACTCAGATTACAGACCTGCCAAGAAAAACTGTGGGCCTCCTGGAAAGGTTGAAACCAAAATCTCTCTTCTACGTTTGCAGACAGCTCCTGGTTTTAGACAGGTCAGATGACAAGGAAGACTTAATTAGAGAATTTTAAGCACAGCCATGGAGTGATTGCTACCACCAGGGAATGTGGTCAGTCACAGGATTTCACAGCACCATTGTGTTACCCACTGGGTGATGTGACGTGGGGAAAAGATACTTCCAGTTGGGAGATTCTGACATAGCTGAACAGTGGAATCCACCCTCTTTGACAACAAGATTGTGTTAAAAAAAATACCGGACCTCTCCTCAGCCCAGCCCACTCTGACATCATGCCGCCTGCAGTGAGGCCTTTGTTCTGCCTGACTTTCGCTGGCTCCTCTGCTTCCCATCAGCGTTGTTGTTGGGAGTTTGTGAACTAGGATTGCGATGTCACTGCATTCCCAGCTGCCTGCGCAGAAACCTGGCCCATGGAAAAGATCTTTCTTCAACAAGAGCATTTCCAGAAGTTAGAACAGGAAGCAACTTCCAAGTGTTTAAAATGTTTTCCTTTGTGATATTTATAGTAAGTCTGAAGGGTCCTTGTAGTCTCTTTGGGCTAACTGAACAGAAACTTGCTTGAAACCTGTGAAAGAGTAGATTCTGGCCTTGCTGATTGTCAGGAGGTGCTGGGATTCACAGTGATACGTGTTTGAAGGCTACCAAAGGTTGTCCCAGACAGAGGAGCATCAGAAAGCTGAGATTATACAGGCAGTGGCTCTGCTCTGACAGTAAGCCAGGCAGTCTGACCTGTGTGTCACAGGTACCGGGCTGGAACTGATAGAGATTACCCCAAGGCAGTAAATTTACCTATTTGGTTATGTATAATTGACGTAGACACGCTGTGGACATCTGATCAGCTGGAGCTGGGTGTGCATTTGTCAAAGGTGGGTACCAAAATAAGCTTCTAGATAATGTTATTGCTGTCAGTGTTTATTGAATGCTATTGAGGTGACTGGCTGTGTGAGCCATGTAGGAGGTAGTCTCTATGCCCAGCATTTACAAGCCAAAGCCTTGATTCTGAGTTGTCTAGCACAGACCTCTGGGCTTGCAGAGAGCCTCTTAGGGGGAGGAGTTACATAAATCCATGGGATAGCAGAGGCTGGGTCCTAAAACACACAGATGTCCAGTTTCACCTGGAGATGGAGGCCTGGACAAAGCATGGGCAAGAGACCCCAAGATGACTTCTGGTTAAAGTGATGAAACTGTCTCCTTTTGGTGGATCCTTGTAAAGTCTTCATGAAAGGGATGTTGAGGTGTTCATTCCATGGTCTCAAGTTGCTCCAGGGGAGGTTTAGGCTGGATATTAGGAAAAAATTCTTCACTGAAAGAGTGCTCAGGCATTGGAACAGGCTTCCCAGGGCAGTAGTGGAGTCACCATCCCTGGAGGGGTTCAAGAAACGTGTAGATGTGGTGCTTCGGGACATGGTTTAGTGGGTTAGGTGGTGTTGGGTTGACACTTGGACTTGATGATTCTTGAGGTCTTTTCCAACCTTAATGATTCTATGATTCTAAAGCAGTGACAAAGCAGCGATTTGAATCATAAGAAGTTTGAGGGAGTCCCTGATATGAAGCTAGCATTGACAAATGGCTAAAGATGTGACTGAAGGAGGCAAGATCATGGGAACAGGAGGAATAGAGTGGATTGAGTGCAAGTGAAGAATTGTCAAGAATCATGAAGATGCTGAGAAGCTTTACAAGTGAAAGGTGACACCATTGACTGGTGTCAGGAGTGAAAAGCAGATTGGGCGTTTTGACAGAAAGGAAACAAGGTAGAAGCCTATGTAAAAAGGCAAGAAACAGAGAGGCACTGGTATGAATTTGGTAAGCTGAAGGTGTCACTGCCATCTGGGTGCTGGAGATAATAATGGAAAAGCTACAGGTTGATCAGGAAGAAAGGAGGTGTTTTGATGCAAGAATGAGAGAAAGCATGAAGGAACTTTGTATTGGGCTCTCAGATGGTTCACATAACTGCACCCTTGGAAAGGCTGATAACATGAACATACTTCTCAGAATGCCCCAGGGAGGCACTACTGTCTCCTTTTTAAAAATGAGAACTCAGAGCACAGAAATACTAAGTTCAGTTGCCTGAGGTCACATATATTTTTGTGACACAGCCAGGAACAGAATGTGCCTTTTGAATCCTACGCCAGCATCTTTAACACAATACTGCTGTTCCGTACAGCAGTGGTGAGAAGAGATGCGGGAGCAGGGAAGGAAAAGGAAGGAAAAATCATGTGGAAAAGTCAACTGAGGACATATCCTGGTTCAGAAATATACCTGATAGATCATACTGGCTTTTTTTTTTTTTCCTGTTTTCAATAGCTGTGTGTGTATACCTACTGTTGAAAAGGCTCGCTGGCTCAGCTGGAACACAGGTGAATGTTGATTCCAAGGCCAGCTGTGGTCCAGGGAAACTTATGCTGCATCTGGCTGGAGGGCTGCCCAGGCTACAAATCCAGGCTGGCCCCAGCTGAATTTGTGCAGAGCCAATCTGGTTATCAGGAACTTGTATTATCAGACGTACAAAAGACATCTGAGAGACTCCATCCAGATCCAGCAGAACTGTGTGAGTGCTGCAAGATTGGGCTGGCGTCAGCACACATATTCTATAATGGCTTGAAAGAGAAGGCACTGTGAAATGTGAATGAGCAAAATCAGCCCAGATACAGTGTAGGCCTCAAGGGGGAAGTCAGTGCGTTGAAGTGGCATTGTATAGAAACAGGATAAATCTAGTAATCTCTAGGTAAGCTCCTGTGATGCTTGGACGCAGTGTACCCTCTCACATCCTGTATTGTCTAGGGGGTTGCTGCCGGGTGTTCCCTGTCCGCCCCAGCCTAAAATGAAGGCGTGCTGTCTATATGTGTTTGAAAATGAAAGACCACAGCTGGGTGTTGCAAACATCACCAATGCCCCTGATCATAAAAAAAAGAACATGCATAAGTAAAGCAAGACCATGCTAACTACAGCTTCCTGGTTGGATGCTAACTGGTAGAAAAAGAGTGGAACTGACTTGAAACTTCCAGGCATCTTTGCAACACTGAAGCAGGGTGGAAAGTTCTGGAGAGCATTGGGAAAGTGTATCTAATATGGGCTTCTCATTCCTGGAGCTGCAGAGCAGTAAACATGTGTCATTCCAATGTTTAGACGTGCTGCATCTGCTGTAACATACCTCCTCTCTTTTGGAAGAGCTTGATAAATTATGTTGTAGTTCGCAAAAGTTACTCAAGTTGGATGAGTTTCAATCCTGTAATTCAAACATATTTGCTTTCCTCCCAAAATACGCAGTCAAAAGAAAAATAATAAATAGATACTTAAGTGCACAGGAACCAAAATTTTGTGATTTTGAAGTGTAGATTTCATGTGACTGTTTTGCATTAATAATTTGGAGGCTGTGAGACCCAGAACCAGAGACAGGACTGGAACTGGGGATCAGGGGATAGCATTGACAAGGCAAAGAGTTCAGAGCATCCTTTGCCAGGCCTTGGACTTGTTTAAACACCCTCTTTGAAACCTAGGCCTCGAATCCATCCCTCCTTCCTCATGTTGTTTTCTTCCACCCATGAAGAAAGCATCAACTAGATTTCCCAGGGTACTTATTTTTTGCAAAGGTGGAGCAAGATTGTGCTGGGTAACAACAGGAGCTCCCCACCAGTAATTGACAATGTCTTAAAGGATGAGCGTTCCTTTCGTTTTTGGCAGGTTAACAGTAGTGTCAGACGTGAGTCAAACTGAGGCTTTAAAACTCAGACATCTGAAACACGAGAGCTCAAGGAAAATCTACCAGGTAGCAGGACACCTGAATGGGTACCTGGCTGTACACATTGCTTCTGCAGTGCTCAGCAGTTTTGCAGAAGCCTCCTTTTTAATATCCCTTTATAACGGACATACTGTTCCTTTCAAACAACAACCAAGCAAAGGGAGCAGAGGGTGCTCTGCTCCCAGGCATTGCTGGTAGGTCTGCTCTTTGGCAAAGGGCTGGAGGGAGGGACCTGGCTTTTATAAATCAGCATACACTCCACAGTTGTCATGTGTTCTAAGATAATATTCCCAAATTCAGGTTTGTCTACAGAACTCAGCAGAAGCTGAGCAGATTTTATAATGATTTCACTTACTCTTCAGATTTCAAGGTCCGGTGCTATTGTTTGGACAGTAACAGAGATCAGAGCAAATCCTAATGCCAAACTTACTTAGCCTGAGATCTCCCCAAAGTTCGGACGTGTTCATAACAGGGCGGGGTTAGTTCAGGCTCATCTGCTTTCTTTGAAGTGAGGTTTATAGCCCTGTTCTTTTGCCAGTTCTGTGAAGAAGCTGGGCAGAACGGAGGTCTGTTCTGACACATACACACTGAAGAAGCAGTCTGAACAGGAGAATCCTTTGTTTCAGGGATGGGTCACCACAGGCCATAAAAGTAGTACTAAAAGCCAAACTTTTCCAAGCAAGACTAGATATGCCAAAATATCACAGGAGGAGCTGTTGGTGGAATAGTTCCAGTCCAGCTGGAAATATTGGAAATCACAGTAGAAAATCAAGAGTGATTCCAAAAACTTTCTTCCTGATCTTACTCCCACTGGAACTGATTTCATGGTTTGCAAAGCCAGAGGAGATGGACAGACTGAACAGGCATGACTGAGTATTCAGTGTTGTTATTCAGTATGTGGAACATATTTAGGAGTTGTAGCTATTGGTTAGACCTCCTTTGTGGTGCATGCTGAGAACTCTTGGCCCAGAGTTTTCAGCAACAGGAACCAAATGCAGACCCATCCAGATCTCTTTGACAAGGCATCACCCAGACCTAACACCAAACACATATGGCTGATGGACTTCAAAAATCCATAATTGCATTTAAAAATCTGCTTGTTTTATATCAGTGTTGGGAGGAATACCTTACATTTGTGAGTATGCCTTCCTTCACAGTACGTTCCCACTCACAGCTTGTAGCCTAGAAAGGTCTTGAAGGAGGCTCTGTCCTCTCCTCTGCAGAGCATTGAGCTCAACAGGTCCCAGCCCTGTGATTAGGGCTTCTGAGTAGTTCAGTCACAACAGTAGTTAATAAGGAACTGTGCTGAGATACTATTGCGAAGTAAAGGGTTAAAACTGAATTTGAAAATAAAATGTGGGGTGGAGCAGAGTAATCTATATCTTTGTTATCACAACAGAAAAGGATTCTGTCCGTTTAAAATACCAGAGAAATACAATTCAGCACATGTCAGTTCTTCAGTAAAGCATTTCTTCCAAGTTTGCTCTGTCTATTACAGGAGGGGACTCTCTGTACCAAACTATTTAGGGCTGGGTATTGTTTTTGGAGGCTGCTGTGTTCTTGCTTTGTCTTTCACCCTTTCCTCCCTTCCCTGCTTTCTTATGTGTCCCTTTGCTGATCACAGGAGCCGGTGCTGATTTTGTCATGCTTGGAGGAATGTTTGCAGGCCATGACCAGTGTGCGGGAGAGATTATGGAAAAGAATGGCAAGAAGGTGAAACTCTTCTATGGAATGAGCTCTGATACAGCCATGAAGAAGCATGCAGGAGGAGTTGCTGAATACAGGTATGAATTCCACACAGGAGCAATTGCAGTGAGACAATCATACAGTAACTTCTGGAGCAGAATTGTGCAAAAGGCATCTGTTGGAAACAGGCCTGTGCCTCTATTCCTGTTTAGGAAGCTGTTAAAGCAGCAGATCTGAGGGAGGGATGACATCAAGCAGGAGGCAGGGAGAAGGAGCGGGGAGTGGCTGGCTGAGAGCAACCATGTTCACTGGATTGCAGCCAGTGCAGTGTGCTGTCACTGCAGCACTAGCTGCATGGTCTGGGAAGTCATTAGGCGCTGTTCTGACTTATGGGTCTGTGGGGATGTGTATGAATTAAATGCTGGAACTTGGCATACCAGGCTGCAGTTTCTGGCACTCTGCTTGTCCAGGTTGGGTGTCCTGTTGGTGTATGGGTTCCTGGCTGGCCCACATGCTCCCTTCTGTTTGCAAAAGTGGGGGCCCGGTGAATTGAAAAAGCTCAGCTGGGGTTTCTGCGGTATAGAGTTTGAGTAAAACTAATGAGGGCCCAGGACCTCCAAAGCACTCTCAGTCACAGGTGGTGGCCCCAAGACTCCCTCCTGCATTTGTTGGGCAGCCTTCTCATGCAGCAGAATCCTGCTGTACGGATTTCTCTGGAGCACCAGAGTAGCCCCAAGTCATGCAGTATGTGGGAACTTGGGTTTTGAGATAAAATCCTCAGAGGAGAGGAAAGGAAGACAGGCTTTGCAAAGGAATCTTTTGTCCATTGCTATTTTACTCCAGAAAGTGCTGGGAATTTTGACTTTTTAAAAAGCAGATTACTCCAGAAGATCTCTGGGTCTTTTGTCTTCTGAGTGGTAGGTATAGCCACTGCCCTTAGACAATATGTTCCTTGCATACTTCATTAGATAATGTTGCCTGTCTTACAGTATACACTGGTTTATTGAGGGGTTCCTTTTGGTTCTTCTCCTCTGCTGAGGTAGATTCAGGCTCTGGTCCCATCTGGTAAACTGCTGTTTGTAAGAGTCTCAGAGCCAGTGACCTTACCTGCTGTTCAGACATTCAAGATTGATGGGTTAGGTTGACCTTGTCTGCTACAACTACTCCAGCAGTCTAGATAGACCCTTTCAATTCCTTATGGGCAATGCTACACAAATTCTGTTTGATCCATAGCTGTATTCTAATTTGCATCCTGATTTTAGAGTCCCCTGGGGATCAAGTTCTGAAACCTTCTCAGCAACAAGAGAGCAGAAGCACAATCTGAAACTTTTAGTCCCTGTTGAGATACTGCCTTTTTGTGCCACTAATAGGTGATATAGAATGACTGCCCCCAGCCTACTGCTAGCAACAACAAAAATTAACACTGTAAGCCTTGGCTGTTAACTGTGAAGGAGTTGATTCTCATCTTGTTCACATTGCAGCCATGATGCAGAGCTGGCTACCCATACCAGCCTTGGCCTTGGTCTTGCTTGGCCTGTCCCAGCATGAGCGTCACTGTGGTTTAAAAACTGGAAGTGTTAGTTATCCAGCACTATAAATGTGCTGAGCATTGAAGGACAATCAGAAACAGGGCAAGGCTTTGCTTTGAATTACTCGTCAAGGAAAAGTTACAGGAAATTTAGTCACTTACTAGTTTAGCTTATGGCAAACTTGAACCAAGTGGGTTCTATGTCAGTGTTTTAAATGCTGGATACCCCAAACAGGTCAAGGCAGTGCGGTTTCTTTATATGTATTTAAAAATCCCAGCTGTAAGCCTGTATCAGTGACTCCAATAAGCTCTTTTGTCTTGAAAAGAGCCTGAGCATTCACAATGTTTTATTCAAGCAGTGGGGAGCTCAGTGTACTCAGCTCCCTGCAGTATCAGACTACTTGTCACTTAACTTCATCTTCTCAAAATGACACATTTCGGCTGGAGAACCTCCAGCAAACAGCATTGACAGGTAGGGTGAGATGGCTGTAGCAGGGATTTACTTTATGTTGTGAGAATAATTGTTTTTGTAATGAATATATCAAGTTGATCCCATTTAATGTTGTATGAAATCTGTGTACCTGGTTTCATTACTTTTATGTCATTTATATATTGGTTTATTTTTGCATTTTTACCTCCTTCCACGAGGAGTATGATCAGAGCTGGGAATTTCTGAAAGGCAATTATTAAGTTTCTTTCATGGGAGAAAACAAGGCAAGCAGGAGCAGAGACCTCACGCAGTATAGCTCAGTTAGAGCCAATTTGCTTCTGTTAACCCTTCTGAGACTTCACAGGTTTGGTGTGAACGCTGCAGTTCTACTGTGGTCACTCAGCAATTCACAGCTGCTACTAAGTTGGGTTTTATCACTTTATACAAACTGTAGGGTGGAATTTGGGCCACAGAGACAGAAGAGCACCAGCAGCTGGCTGCTGCTTACCATCTTTTTCTGTATCCCAAATGACAGCCTGGAAGTCCTGCGCTTCACCCCATCACCTTCTTCACTCCACCTACCCTGCCAGGATTCCCACCCACCGTGCTCATCCCTCCGTGCCAGCAGCAGGCTTGAGCTGGCTGGGAGCTACGGGGTGCACCACAGATTGGACCCTCTGCTAAACTCTGAAGTGAATAGTTTTCTCTTTCTATTCACTGTTCAGTTGCTGGTGGAAGATACTGAGTCTCTGCTGAGAGCATCCGAGTACCTTTCCCAGCTGTAAGGAGCCCCAATTGCTCTGTCTTCACCTTTCTTTTCTGAGAAAGGGTTAGTTTCTGGTCATAACTCCGGGAGAAATGTCAGAGCTGCAAATCCCTCAGCAGTTTCTGCTGACTTGCTTATGCAGCTCTCTGCCAAGTGTTCCAGCTTTTGTGACACCCCTTGTAATCCATGCATGGCCTGTGTGCAGGCATTTGTTGCTCGCAAAACAGTCTCAACTTGGAGATTTTTTACTAAAATGTCTCTCCTCCATCCTAAGCACCATATTAAAGGGGTTAACATCACAGTTTGGTTATACACCCGTCCCAGAGCCCACCCTTGGAGCAGACTACAGCAGTATATAGTGCAAGAACCTGTGCATACCCTTACTGAAATTCCACCCACTCTCCCCTGGGAACCAGATGACAGGACTCATCAGCATGGTCTGGGTGACATCTGTTACAAACTCTGCCCCTTTACCCTGGGGACTAGAGAGTTGGGGTTAACTTTAACGCAGACAGAATACATACTCATCAGAAACTTCACCTCCTCATCCCCATGGACAAGACTACGGAGGTTAGTGTCACAGCAATCTGAGCACATGCTTATTACAGACTTCACACATTGCTTCTGTAAAACACATAACCAAGAAAGCCCCAACAGTTTGAATATATACCTATTACAAACTCCACCCCTCGCCCCTGTGGACTCCTATCAGGGTTAACATCACAATAATCTGAATACTTGCTACGAATTTTAGGACTTGGCCCTTCAAAAAAAAACCCCAAACCAAGAACATAATGGCAGTTCAAGTTATTCACTGTGCTTTAGCTTTTGTACAAGCAAAAATTAACACCGCTGTTGAAGGTACCAAAAGGGTCATGAGTTCAGTAGCTGTAGGGCTTAATTTACATCCAGTATGGGGTGGGGGGGAGTAGGGCGGTGAACAGCATCCACATGCTGCAGCATGGGCATTTCCCCATTTGGGAAGTAGGGCGATACACCAGATAGCTTCGCTGTCTTGGGGCTTGCTCCACAGCCATAATGTTAGCTAAGCTTTGACGTGTATGCTGTACTTGCAGTTGCTTAACTTGCAGCTCTAGATTTCTGTCCCCCTTACATCCTATACTCCTCCTTTTCCTTCTGGAACATTCATTATTCCCAGTATGTAGGGTGGGAGCATGGAGAATTTTCAGCCCTTTTTGACTTTTTTCCAAGGATGAACATAAGACTGGACTCTCAGCATTTTCTGTGGAGCTAATCTCACACCTCTCTTCCAGCATGCTTCCCCCAATACAGTATCTATAGGTTACTCCTTCATCATCCCACCAGTTTATCAGCTGATACTAGAGGAGCAGTAAGAACCATCTAGCTGTCAGAGTTTCGGTGCTGCAATGTAAGGTGTTCACCACTTCTGTAGGTTTTGGTCTCCAAAAGTGGCATCCTACAAGTTCCAGCTTCCTCACACCATCATAACCACTGCAGGGGCATCTCCCAGGGGCAGTGGCTATAAGTGTCCCAAATTTCTGTAATTTGGCTCTGAAAAGAAAGGACAGCTGAACATTCACTCTCTTGGGAGCAATGTTGCCATCTCTGCAGTTCTGCAGAACCACGGTAACCGGGGCTGCCTTTCTTTGCAATCAGCTCTCTGCTACCAGAACCCTGCATCTTACGCCCCACATGATACTCAAGCATAAATTAACACAGCACTCATGTTTGAACTGATGGGACCCTTATGCAAAAATTAATTGGACTCTCATGCATGAACTGAACAGGCAAGTCATGCATGACTGCAGTAAACCCTGCTCTGCAGAGCACTTCAGATGGCAGGATCTGGTAGGCAAAATTCACACAGGTTTCCCCAAATCCCAGGCATACACTTTCTCACAGTCTCACGGGAAGCTCCCCAGAGGCTGAGCTGAACCTCTGGACTTTGGCCATGCTCACCTCCAGCAGTCAAACACCAAGCTGCAGAGTGGCAGCATGACTACTTTTGTGTTGTTTCGTGGGCCAGGCCTTCTCTTCCTGCTGGCACTGGAGCAGTGTGAAAAAAAACCTGTGAACTCCCACCAGCACAGGCCAGACAACACACCGCTGAGCCCCGTGCAGGCTGCCTGATGGCAGTGGCACATACATTTTCCATTGGCCACTTATTACAGGGTTTATTTAAGAGTTTCAAGAAAGAGTCAATTACTCATCAGCTGTAGGGAGATTGATCATAGTTCCTTGTTGACATGGCATATTAACGCTTCTCCTTTATTGTGTCCCTAGGGCTTTGACCTCCCATTTAAGCTAACAGAATGAAATACAGCCAGACTCACACTGAAGTACCTCCACACAGCCGCTCTTGCTGCTGTTAATGATTTGCAAGTGGCACCTCCAAACAGGCATGGCCTTTCTTTCTTGCATTATCCCCTAGACAACTTGTTTAAGGGAGATGTAAATAAAGCCATGTTTACAACACTGCTAGCTCCCTGCCTTGATTTCTGCCTCCAGTTTGTAGGGGAGAAGGAGGGCAATGCCCCCTCCCCTGTGCGTTTCTCTTAGACCCCCCTTCCCCAGGCCTGCCCCTCCAAAGGAGCCAGCGCGTCGTGCAGAACAAGCTTGCTCTAAAGCCCAGGGAGACCAGCTGGTGACTGGGGAACTCGGCTGCGGGAGGAATTGCTGAGCATGAGGCTGGAGAAAGCTGAAGGGGAAGGAGTGGAAGTTATTTGCCTGGATTCTTCCATCGTGTAACTCTTCAGATGTGCTTTTGGGAACAGTGCAGTCTGTGCTGGCATGCACAGGCCTTTTTGCCTGGCTCTGAACTGTGCTAGCTCACTTTTTAGCTTCAGGGGACAGCTCTGCAGCAGGTTTCCATAACAGGTTTCCCACTCCATCTCTGTGGGCTCTGGAGAATCAGGCTGGTAGGAGACAGCCGGAGCATTTCCATCTGCGTCTGGTCAGTGATGTGGGACAGAGCCCAGGGGCTGTGGAGCCTCTGTAGGGCTGTGCTGAGTGGTGCCTCCTGATAACCAGCTCCAAGATTTCTGTCAGTTGCCTGAGCCTGGCCGTTCCTTGTACTTTAAAGCTTGCAACTCTCAAGATTAAATTTACCTTTCAAAAAACCTGGAAGCTTCACATGTTTGTGGGCAGATGGTAGAGGGGAGGAAGGGGCAGATCTGTAAATACACTTGGGGGATATTGGGGCATTTACAAGATTTGTCTGCTTCTAGTTCCCAGTACTGGTGGTGTCTGGAGTTGAGACATTTCAGTGCTTGAGAGCACCAAGCAGCAACAGACAAGCAAGAAATAAAGCTGGGGGAGTGGTTGTAAACTGCTGCATACAGAGTATTAAGCTCCACTTTGCTTCAGTAAACACACTATTATGTTTTTCATCTAGCCATAAATGCAGTAACCGATCTCTTCTCCAGGGCTTCGGAGGGCAAAACTGTGGAGGTACCGTACAGAGGGGACGTGGAACTCACCATCCTGGACATCCTCGGGGGGCTGCGCTCCACCTGCACCTATGTGGGAGCTGCCAGACTCAAAGAACTGAGCAAGAGAACAACGTTTATCCGGGTCACCCAGCAGCACAGCCAGGTCTTCTCTTAGCTCAGGGCTGGGGGGCTGGAGAGAGAGGGGTGGGGGGGAGCAGCAGGAAGGGCTGCTATTTTGTTTTGCTTTCTCCTCCATGTTGTGTCGGTGGCAAACTCTCTCCTCTCTCAGAATGGCAGAGTCATCCGAGGGGCTATGGCAAGGATTTGGAAGGGGAAGGTTCTGCTATTAACATGGTGCCATTGGTTCAAAATGCAATAGCCTCATCTGTTATTATTGTGCCTCTTTAATATTTTAGTCAACAATTCTTCACCTGTTTTTTTCCCCCTCTGAAAAGCAGCTGCTGAAACCTCAGCTAACAAGGAATTGTACAGACAAGGCTGTTAACGCCTGCACACATTCCCTTTTTTAAGACTGACCAGTGAGCTACCACCGCTTCTGGCAGTTCACCCTGCAGAAATTGCAGGCTGGGAGAGAAAAAGATGTAAGGAATTGCATGGAGAGATCAAAATTCAAGTTCTCTTAATCTTTGTTCTGGCGAAAGAATGGATGTTTGTGGCATGGCTGCCAGCCTGCAGAATGTCAAAGGTGGCTGGTGGACGAGGCCTGGCTACTAGGGACTTCTTACTGTGATGATAAAAATGCCAGACCTCTTCCACTCCTAGCTCACAGGGCTGCTACTGTCGTTCTTGATTCAATCTCCCTATTCAATGGACTTGCTTCTTCAGAGGAGCTGGCTTGGAATGTAGCAAACCCGTGCTGTCCCCCTGTCCCCACCTGTGGAGATTACTCAGGAGAGACTGGCTCAGAGCTTGCCTGCTTTTTCGTGCATGCAGTTACTGAATTACTTGCGCTCCTGCTTTCACCTGTGAACAGATTTTTAAGACACTGAAACTCAGCAACAGTAACCCCACCAAAGGGAGGTTTCTCCGCAGCCTGTCCTGTTCATATCCATTTAGCAAAGACATAAAAATGCTGTGACGTGCATTGTCTGTGGCCAGGTGCATGAGGCTTGAGGGAGCAAATTAACCTCTGGTTATTTGGTACCCGTCCTCTGCAGTCCTTGACACCACGTAAAGCAAAAGCGAGTTTTTGGCAGAGTAGCCTGATGGCAAGACACTGGTAAGCTGAGATGGAGTGAAAACATTTGCTCTAAAGGCAGTAATGAATATTTAAGACTCTGGGTAACTCTTTAATAAAGTGTAATGGCCCACTAATTAATTGATAAATCACAATGAAGTTTCTTTGGAAATACACATTGCATCCACATGAAGACCACAGTAGCTTGTTATGATAAATGATGTAAAAGTGAGCACCAATGAATTAATAATGCTCGGCCACTTACTTTCAGGTGCTGCTGAGATCCTAACACAGCTGATGTTACTTCAGAGCCTTACCTTCCCCTCCTGTAGATATCTGTAGAAAGAGGCAGGCTTCCTTTGAAAGGCAAAAGAATGATCTGTAGGAAGAGGAATAGCAAAGAGAATACCTAGAATTAAACTCATGCGGGACTGCTCCAAATGCCATGTGCAAGGACTGGTACAATTGACCATGCCGAGGAGAAAATCTAGGCCACAGGCTGATAGCTGGTGATTCTGGAGTGCATTGTGCACATTAGGAAAAAGCACAGAATATCTTCTGTGTAGCCTATTTTAAATGTCTTCCATTTAACATGTGGGACATAGTTCTTAATTGTGGTATGACCAGGAGGTCACCGTTCCTTTAGTGACATGATGCAAAGGCAGGGGTACAAAGGCAAGAGAACACCTCTGTCAGGAGTGGGGTTAGACCCTCATGGCGCTGGCCTGGCCACAGACCTGTCTCCACGCTCGTGCCTTCATACGTGGGAAGTGCAGCAGCCTGCTGCTCTCATGCCCACTCTCGCTAGCACTTCCCGACTTTTTTTCAGCTACATTTCTAAATGGAATTTAAGAAATACATATACATATGAAATATTTATATTTGTAAACATTTTTTAAAAACAATCATACGCACAATGAACAGAGCAGCTCGATGACATGTTTTCCGAACAGTTTCTTTTCCAAAGGGCAGTGGCTGAGGGCAAGCGGCAGCTGCCTCTCTGCAGGTGTGTCAGGTGTGGAGCCTCCTCCCTGGCCAGGCTGCACACTTACCCAGCCAGCCTGGCCTGGGGATGCTCCTGCAGCCAGTTTTCTTCCCCTTTCACACATACCGCCCACCTTTCACACATACCTCTGACGGACCAGGGACTAATAGGAAAGGATGGGGACAAGCTAATCTGAAGTTGTCCCCCAAATTCTCCAGGCTCTGAATGACACTGGCACTGAGAATAGGCACTGATAAAGCTTTGACTTAGGGTCTTTGCTTTTCTAAATAGCAGCTCTTAACATCATTTTGATAAACATGCATGTTATTTATTTCATTTTCTCCTTCTCTCCAAAGTGAGTAGGAGAGAGAAACTGGCTGCAGAAAGGCTGAACTGGTGGCATGTCTGTGTCTCACCCAATGTTATATGTGACTTCTGTTCAAGGATAACCCTCTGACACTGTACGTATCCAGCTCTCAGGCTGGAAAATGGAAAAAAAGAGGAGCTTGAGCCCTCCTGTAACACCCAGTCCTATGCTCTAGCAGTTGCTCATATCTTGATTTAGCCCCAGGTTCTGTGCCCTGCTCAAGCCGCTGCCACTCTCACAAGGAACCAGGGCAGAGAGGGAGCCGAGGGCTCACTCCACCTGCTGGAATGGTCCGAGCAGAGACCTCAACCACTGACGAAAACCACATGCCATTTGTGGATCTACCTCACCTGCCCATTCAACCAGGTGCTATGTTACTTGGTGTCCTTCTGTGGGAAATGAAATTCGTAAGTGCTTTGGGAGTGATTTGTCCTAACTGGGTCATCTTTATCCCACCACCCCAACCCCATCCTGTCTAGAGGAACACTGTGAGGGTGATAAACCTGTGCTGTAGGCCAAGGCATACCTGCTTCCCCAGCCAGGCAATTGTTGAGCAGCCAAGAGGAATGCGGAGGTTCTGCCTGTGCAGCGGTTAAGTTTAACATACCAAAGACCTACAAGCAGGGATGCTGAAAAGGGCAGCGTTACATCCTTAAAGCAATCCCTGCTGACCATGTCCATCTCTGGCTTCTTGAAACATGAGGACACCTAGAACCCCCTTGTTGGCACAGCCAGCTCACCCCTGATGGCCGTGGGGCAGGGGCTTTGGCTGTGCGCCTCTGGGCAGCTTTCGTCTCGGGGTGAATGTAGGATGGGCCCCCCCTGTAAATAAGAAGTTGTAAGCGGGAGCAGGAGGAGCCTCTGCTTCCGTTTGGTGGAGCTTTTCCTGTACAAAGTGTGCCTGCATCTTCCTTTCAGCTAGTCAGTTTTCCTACACAGGGAAAAAAGGATGGAGGTGAGCAACACTGCTGCAACTAGCCAAGCCCCACTGCACTGGGACTGGGGCTGGTGTGTTCCAGTCACAGACAGGGTGGGAGTCTGACGCCTTTTCTGAACCGAGCGCTCCCTGGTTTATACCTATGGAGCCACACTGTCTTGAACAGACTTGCTTGCTACCGCTTTCTGCCAGCGTAAGTGGTGTCTGTCCATCGCCTCCCACGCCTCCACCCGGGGATGTTGCTTTTTAGTTGCTGGTATGAGGTGTACACCAGATGTTCTTTGTTGGAGCCAGGCGGGCTTTTCCAACCAGTGCCAGGTTTGGCCTTGCTTGTGTAGGAGAGGATTAAAAAAAAATAAAAAGCCAAGGCACAGGAAGAGCAGTTTGCCTCCTGCAGCAGCCAAGGCCGGCAGGTAGGAGAGGGCAGAGCCCTTCCTGTGGGCTGGGAGCTGCCCGGGGATGGAGGGGCTGAAGCATGAAGCATATCTGGGTTAGATGCTGGCACAGCTCTGCGCCCCTAAACACAGCATGGGCCACCCCACCCCGCAGCCTTTGCTTTGCTCATGGTCATCCAGACGGTTAAGCAAGCCCTCCCCTGCATTTACTTGACAGAATGTTTACTCGTTGAAGCTTTCATACATAAATAAATAATTCAAAGGCTAAAACTCCTTGGTGTTGCCTGCGTAACTGTGAAGCACTTCCATGTAATTGGCCAAAAAGAGCCGATGAGCATTTGATGTTTTCCTGGGGAGGACGAGTGCTGCTGCCTCCCCTCTGCTGTACCAACCGTGCGCAATGCCGCCGGCGCATGTGGCACAAGCATTTCAAGTGTTAAAAAGTTGTGAATGGAAAGTTTTCGTTGTGTACTAAAGAGCTTCACTCTTGATGGTCTGGAGAGCATTTTATGGCCGTGGATGGGTATGTGCATGTTTCCGCGTTGTCACAAATAAAAACAAACATTCTAAACTGTGTTGGGGGGGGAAGAAATTAAATTGGGCAAATAACTTCCCTAGGAGAGCTCTCTCCCGTTCATCCGTACCTCATAAAGACAAACCAGGCATTTGCAATTGGCACTGTTATTTTATTAGTACGAGTATACTGAAACAATAAACTTGTACTGGTATACAGACAATTTCTTTAAAACAATTTTGTTCAAATTTTGAATCAAACATTGTTTTATTATAATAATGAAATAATTTCTACCTAGAAAACCTGCAAGCACCATCAAAGAAAGGGACCATAAAATTCAATAAACAGACGCGAGTGTATCCTACAAATAGACACACCACCATTAGAAAATAGAATATGAATTCTTCCTTTTTTTTTTTTATTATTTGTTTTAAAAAAGCTAGTGCAAGTACAATATTTTACACTGGAATTACAGAGAGTATGCACGCATATGGAAAAAAGTTCTCCTGTCACAATAAAAGCTCTTAACTATGTCTGTATGCACTTAAAATCTTCTCCTCTTTTCAGTAAGGTGCAAAACGTTATTCCCTCCCTATTTCTCCTTTGTACTGGCCATGTCACTCAATTCCTCCCCAACACAAAGCTGCGATATCCCTTTTACTGGGCCTACACTAGGAACTATACTGGAAGTGTGATTTGCAACAACCCTCATTAGTAATAACAGACGATTTAAAAAAAAAAAAAGAAAAAAAAAGAAAAAAAAAAAAGACCTTAAAATCTACCGCTGTAGAATGGCTAAACCTTACCCTGGCATGGCCCCGCGCTGAGCGCTGCTGCCGGCTGCCAGGAGTGATGACATAGCTAGTACAAAAAGATTTTCAGTAGCTCACCCGAACTGAAAAAGGTTGGGAAATCCCCCCTCCCCCCCGTCTGTAACACTGCAAAAAGAACAGTGTTCAACAAGTTAATATATTATTCGAAAAAAAAAAAAAAAGAGCAAATACATACATTAGTGAGTTTCAGCATTAGCTGACTGTGGTGAAGAGCCATATCTA